GACTTTGATCTCAATGCCATTGTAAAACTGCTTTCCCCTCATGTCCCAGACCCCCTGGTTGGGTGTGGCGATAGCCCGGTTCTGTGGAAAAAAAATATTTTAAGATTTCACATCTACCTTCTTGGAGTTTTACCCCACAGAGAGAGTGGTTTGTCAAGTCAGGGATAATATGGTTCGCATCAACCTTCACAATGAGACCAACCCCCAGCCAATACCGAGCCACTTAAATGGAGCGGGAGGGGTGTCCAGGAAGCCGTCCCACACCCCAGAGGAGATGATCATAAGCAAAGTCTACTCTTCCGGCACATTTCTTCATGTATTCTAGGCTGAAGAGAGCAAGGAAGTCCAACTGAATGACACCAGCTCACCAACCGTGAGGCTGAGCGTGAGCCTGGCCCATGTTATATAAGGATTCCCTACCAATCCAAAGAGAGGACTTGGAACCAATCAGGTCCCAGGAGATTCTCAAACAAACAGGAAAACAATGCAGAAAAGGCTGTTTTTCAGGTCTCGTGTGGCTTCTTTCTTGTATGACTTCAGATACCTGGAAGGGCCATAAGTTCGGGTTCAAATAAGTTGCCAACCACCGTGCCATCTTCTCTGGCAAACTGGCAAAGGGACTTCAGTTTGCCAGCTGCCCTGCCCCAAACTATATGCTCAGAATATCATTAGGGTTCACTCTGTTCAAGCAAAAGAAGAATCAGAGGGACTGGAAAGCTATTAGATGCAATCACTACACATACACACCCCTATCTCAAATTAACATCAAATGAGCAAGCAGGTATAGTTATGATGGCAGATATATAAAAGGGCAGGAGAGACTTATTTAGGCATAACCTTTGAAGAAAGGTCATTTCAGGCACCCAAACCTAATGCTGGCCAAGACAAACGTCACAACACAGCTTTCTACAATCACTCCCCGCCCCCAACCTACCCACCCCACCACCACTTCGACAAGCCAAAAAGGCACAGCATCCAACTGGCTTCTTTTCTGCTTACCCGACCTCCATACTGTAAGATTGGAGCAGGAAGGACTCTCCCCGTCACTTCGGTCATGTCATCCTTCACCTTTATGCCAAACTCCTGTATGTATGGGTCCAGGTTATAACTGGCATTCTTCATCTGAAAGACAGAGGTGAAGTTGCACCAGACTGAACAAGCTGTGCTAGCAGGTACACGGACAGAGAACAAGGCTGCCAGTGGAGGATGAAAATACAGGTAACACATGACATCATGTATCATTTAAGACAAGAGAGGGAAACTACCAGCCTGACACTGGCCAGTGGAGACGCCATGGGGAGTAGTTGGAAGGATTATGGCACTGGATTTTGCCAAGGTATGGCAGGAAACTCCATGCATGAACTCATGGGATTCCATCACCTCACCCAAGGCGTGACCCTCAGTGATTCTGCAGAAAAGATGAACTGAAGCAAGCATACTTCAGCTATAGACCACCCATCACTCCTCCACAAGGTCCTGGGAATACAGACATGCACAAATCTTGTCTAGAACTGATTGCTCCTGAAAGATGTAACACACAGGTCAGCAACCTATGGCTCTAAAGCCAAATGCGGTATGTAACCCAATACAGCCCTTCAAAAAAGAAAAACGAACTCTTTAAGGTAAGGTCTACTGGCAGGGTAGGTGGGATGCTAAAATAACCTGTATGTGAAGAGAATAGTTGGCAAAGATACTTACGGGGATGAAAGGGCTTTATGGAAGGGAAATGAAAGAGGTGAGCAGCTGCCAGGAATCCAAGTGCAAATGGATAGATTTATGCCAGTACACAAAACTATTGCTCAGGCTGCTCTTGTGTATATTTAAGACTTATCCTGAGACCTCATAGGCACCATTTCCTCATAAAAGAATCCCAACAACAACCAGTGTTTGGGCTACAGAAACTTCATGGCTCATTAATCAATATGCGCAATCAGACGCAACTGCTGGTGAGTCGGGGAGGGGGGTTTGCCGTTTGTTCCCGGTGCGCTTACACAAGGAATTGATGAATCGCATCTCCACACTGAGGTCTCCCTATGGAGTTTGCGATGATGCCGATACTGATAAGGGGGGAAAAAACAATGGCACGGAGTCAGGATGGCCTGATCAGACCATCCCAACGCCATGGGAGTGCGCTGGAACGATCAGACATGGGAAACTCCGTCCGTGGCCCGTCGCAACCCATTTACTACCAGATTTTCCCTGGTGTTTTTTACTCCATTTCTGTGGCAGAGCAAAACGGGTTGCCAACGGGTGCGGGGCGCTTCCCAGATGTTCGTGTCTGATCGTGCCCTTTAAATCCGCCCGGCATTCACGCCTATGGCGGGGCTAACTGTGTATTTGATCGCACCCTCTGAGACTATGACTAAAGGATAACAAGATTGCACTTACCTGTAACTGTTGTTTATCAAATGGTCTTCTGCGCAGGCACACAGGGGACAGCACTTGTGCACGCCTGCTGTGGAGATCGTTTTCTCTAAAAGCTCTCGGGAAAGTTCAGAGTACTCAGCCCCCTCCCTTCACAGGCCAGCTCCTTCCCGCCTAGTTGACATGTGATGGGGTGGGGCAAGCGGTCCTTCTCCCAGTCCCTTTTCACTGCCATGAAAGGACCTCAAGAGTGCAAGGATCCCACAGCGGGGAAAGGAGGGAGGGATGTGTGCCTGCACAGAAGACCACTTGATGAACAGTAGTTACAGGTAAGTGCAACCTTGTTTTCATCTTCCTGGCTTCTGTGCAGTCCCACGTGGGAGAATAGCAAGCTGACTTACCCATAGAAGGTTGGAGTGGGATCCTCAGCAAAATAAAGGCCGAAGAACTGCTTTCCCCACAGCTGCATCCCATCTGGAATTGACATTGACTGCATAGTGCTTGATGAAGAGGACCAGGTGGCTGCCTTGCAGATGCTGTTAAAGGGTACGCGGCCAAGGAAGGCTGCAGAGGAAGATTGAGACCTGGCAGAGTGAGCCCTGAGATGGAGCAGGCAATCAATTTTGGAGGCAGAGTACACCAACTGAATAGCTTTGACAACCCAGTGTGATATGGTTTGAGAGGAGGCTGCCTGGCCCTTGCGGGGGCCAGCAAAACAAACCAGCAGGTTGTCCTCCTTCCACAATGATGCTGTATGAGTACTTCAATAAAGAAGTAATGACTTGCAAACATCCAATGCGCGTAGGGTTCGTTCCTTGTCCAATGTGGGGAAGGGAAAAAGCACTGGCAGAACTATGTCCTGGGAAATGTGAAACACGGACAAACCCTTCACGGGGAACTTCAGACTAGGGTGGAAAACAATCTTATTGGGGTGAAACCTGGCAAAGGGCGGAAAACCCCTGAGTTCTCCTACCCGGGAGGAGGTGATTGCCAGAAGGCAGGCTACTTTATAGGAGAGGAAGGACAAGTCGCAGGTAACAAGGGGCTCGAAGGGCTTGCACATCAATGCAGAGAGGACCAATAAAAGACTCCACTGGGGAACGGGAGGGGGTGCCAAAGGGTGTAAGTCAAACAAACCCTTGAGGAATCTTTTTGCAAATTGTGTCCAACCCCCCCCCCCCAGGAAAATCTGCAACAGGGCCATGGAAGGCTGAAATGGCTGATAGCTGGACCTTGAACTGCCCACCTGGGGCTGCCCCCATCAGTGGAACACAGGAAGCAGGCAATTGTCCTTGAGAGACCATTCGTGTGTTGCCTCTGCTGAGAACTTGCCTCTGCTGAGAACTTGCCACCCCAGTGATGTGGATAGCCTCAAAGGAGATGGTGTGCTGGATGGCCCAGTGCCAAAAGACAGAAGCTTCCAAACAGAGGGAGAGGGAACGAGTACCTCCCTGCTTGTTTATGTCGAACTTCGTTGTAGTGTTGTCTGTGGCTATTGCCACCCTTCTGCCAGAAACCAGGGCTGTAAAAGAAATTAAAGCATACCTGACTGCCCTGAGCTCCAGAAGAGGACCAATGCCCACTAGCTCTATGGGAACCACAGTGCACCCCCCAACCCAAAAGGGATGCATCTGTAAAAACCTGGACATTGTGGGAGGGCATTCCAAATAGGGAGCCTGTTAGCAGGTTCTCCCAGGATGACCACCACCCTAGAGAATGGACTACCACTCTAGGAATAGATCATTTCCACTAGGGTGCATGTGTCTGACTGTACAGTGGCAGATCTGAGGAACCAGTTCTGAAGGGGTCTCATGAACAATTGGGCAAAGGGGACCATCACAGTAATGGATGCCATGAGGCCTAGGAGCCTCTATATGGACTTAATGGACTGAAATCTATTGAAGGCAAACCTCTGAGCCATTGCTTGTATGGAAGCTGCCTTGTACTGAGGAAGCCTTGCCCCTATCAGATTCAATGAAAGCTCCAATAAGAGATGGACTGAGTTGGATATAGGATGGATTTATCCCAATTAGTCTGGAGGCCCAGAGAAGTCAGGGTGGAGACGGTTAGGGAAACACAATAAGATCAGAAAGGAGGTGGTAAAAAGCCAGTCATCCTAGTAGGGACAAACAACACAGCCCGTAAGCATAGATGAGTGACTATCTCGGACATGTACTTTGTGAACACTCTGGGAGCAGTGGCCAAGCCAAAGGGGAGGGCAGCATACTGGTAGTAGGCCTGGCCACACTGGAAGCAAAGAAACCTCCTAGATCTGGGGTGTATAGCAATATGGAAGTAGACAACTTTAAGGTCAATAACAGCAAACAAGTTATGGGGGAGAATCAGGCCTATGACCTCCTGTAACATGGTCATGCGAAACCTAGGGACCACGAGTAACTTATTAAGGGCCATCAAGTCCAATACAGGGTGTTTACTACCGTCTTCCATATCAACAAGGAAATAACAAGAATAAAAACCAGTTTTGGTCTCATGCAATGGAACAGGCTCAATGGCTCCTTTATGCAAAAGAAAAACGCCGGACCCCCCGTGGGGGAGTTGGGGGGGGGGGGGGGGCATGGAAGGGAAAGGATCAGGAGGACAACCAACTGGTGAAACACAGAAACTGAAAGAAATAACCGTGCTGATGCTAAGCACCCAAATGTCAGAGGTGTCACGGTAACCAACTCCCAAAAGGGGAAATAACATGATAAATAAGGTA